TGACCATGGCTCTCCTTAATTAGACTTTTTTTTTCGTAATTTTGAAAGCATCGTAGATGTTTATGACTACCTAATCACTACTACAAGAGATAATTTTGAACATAAGCACTTACTGCTTGCTTGCTTGTGGCTACTTTCTTTTTGTTTTGTTTCTTTTGGTTTTGACTGGATGGTCCTGAATAAAAAATGAATAAGACGTAACATAACAAGACATTCTGATCAAAGTCACAGTCAATTACCTGAGAAAAAGGGATCCAGGAAGCCATGTATCTCTAATAAATGACATCCTTGATCAGTGCAACTTAATGGAAAGTAACTGCTCTGGTAGACGTGCACAAGCTAGGGCTGTAGGCTTGGTGGCTGGGATACTGCTAAGAATAGCTGTGAAAGCTCAGCACAAGACAACATCCCTCCTAATTAGATATCTTTAAGGTCATCTTCTGCTCCATAAAATGGCATCCTCAATGTGGTTAATTATGGAGAAAATAAATAAAAATATGTGATCCAGCTTACAGGAAAAAAAAAGGTATCATGTGGTAAAAGTTTCAGAAAGGAGCATAATATTCCACCCACACATCAGCTTCTTGGAAAAGTAATATGCCTTTGAAGAAGGTCAGAGATAATTAATGCTGCCAGACTGGTTTTGTCCTTCGGAAGAAATATTATTCTAGTATGTGGATTCAAGAGCTATTTATATAAGAAATGCAAATAAACAGATCTCCATCATTCCCTGGTCCTTCCTGAAATGTAACATCTTGATGTCCTCCTAGTTTCCACTGAAGCACAACTTGCACACCAAGGCCAAATTTCAGAAACACAGCCTAACTCCACTTCCTTCCCGTTTTCAGTTTCAGCCTTTCTACTTACATGTCCTTAGTGTTATTTGTTCCTGATTTACTTCTATGTGGTGGATTAAGTTGGAAAGTCATTGTGCATTCCTGGGCTGTTTCTTGCAATACTAACCTGAATGCTATTATAGACTTGTGTTAAGAGCAGCTTCTTTAACCAACAAGAAAAATGGACTCTCTTTTTTTTTTTTTTTTTTTTTTTTTTCTTCTTTTAGATGTGATAGACAAATGAGATGCCTGGGTATGACCTGTGTAACAACTAATCACTGATGTCTTCGGCTGCAGAGCATGCAAAGGCTCCTTATCATTATTCCATGATATAAGTATTCAGACGACAGTCTAGTTTCGCAGAACACTACCAAAAAGGAATCAACATTTTTCTGTCCTTGAAGAGTGGTTGCTAATGATAAATTAGTGCCTGAGGTAACAGGTGCTATGCCTTATAAATCATATCACAATAAATAATCAGAAGAACTTATTTGGATGCGGGGGAAATAGAATATATATGCAATATTACGTGTCTAGAACTAGATATAGGCTGATAGATCCAGTGCATTCTTACCTCGTTTATATGAATATACTTACTGGAATATCCACTAGGAAGCCTATCCAGTACATAACAGGGCACATGTTCTCTTTGCTTTTCATTATCACAGAGGAGTACAGACGTTGCTTGCAGTGGAATGACTTCTACATGCAGGAAGTTCTTCTTTTACCTCCTGGTCATGATTTTCACTTGGAACACTAATTTTTTTTTTCCCCACCTCTTAAATATACCGTCCTAATAGCAAAGCAGGACTTCTAAACCATATGAGGTCTTGAGTTCACAACAGAGAGCTTAGCATACGGATGGTGGGCTTCTCCTGTTTAAATCAGCATCCCTTTTTCAGGTCATCCTCCAACCCCTCTCACTGGGCATGTAACCACTTCACCTTTTTTTTTTTTTTTTTTTTTTTGTGAAGAAGAGATTAAAGACCCCAAATTACGGAATATGGAGGCAGCCCACTGTTGTTGCTTTGTGCTCCAAAGCAGACCTATCCTTTTTTGCTCACCTTGCTTCTGTTCACAGCAGGATCACCAGATAGTAGATGCTATACGGAAGCCAGTTCCCCACTGCAACCTAAGATAAGAGAGAGTCTGCAAAGCCAAGTGAGTTTCTCTAAGGAATGAGATGATACCAGGCAGGCTAAGAAAATAGGTGGGAAAGGTCTTGCTAGGTGATAATCGTTTTTCTTTTCTGGGAGGAACTTTCCACAAAGTCATCCAAAAGGCTGGTGATGGATTTCGAAATAGAAGGTCAGTCTGTAGATATGCAGTTAAGTGCCTTTTCTAGTGGGCACTGCTGATATTTTAAAAAAAAAAAAAAGCAATATTTTTAGTGTTTATGACATGGGCTGTAGAAAGTATTTGTGGCAAAACCTTGAGTTGACTAGGGCTTCATATGAATCTTTTGTGTGCTTTAAATAAACATTTCCAAGGACTTAAAGGGTCTTTTCAACCTCAAAGCTGGGTTTTACCACAGAATAAAGAACAATTACCTTTTATGAAAAATGCATATGAAAACAGAAATAAAAGTACTCCTTGATAACCTTCTCCTGGCCTCTCATTTCCTTGAGAGGGTGGGTCTTAAATTGTATTCCAACTCTAACAACTTTGATTGCAGCAAACTCTGTGCATCTCTGCTGACTCCCAGAAAAATTCACCTATATATAACCATCGGAGGCCTTATTGTCTATCTGCCCCTGCCCTTATCAGTCCTCTCCCATTCCCTGCTGTGCAGTAGAGTCTCTGCTTTCTCACTTTTCTTCCCAGCCTTTCCCCCCTTGCACTCCTGAATCCTCTCTTGCTGCTGGTATGCTCCTTTGCTCTGAAAGATGTTTTTTTCCCTCTGTCCAGAGAAACAGCTTGAGACAGTAGGTGGCAATCAGGACATGGTAAAACAGCAGATTTTCCACTGTGTAGTGAAAATGCATCATTTTAAAGGAACATAAGATCATACAGTAACTGTGAATTAAATATTGTTCTAGAGTTAACTTAGACTTATTTAAGGGCATTCCTTATGAAGTATTTTTTATAAAGACAAGACTGTGCTCAGGTTTCCTGATCATCAGGATTCTGGTAAGAATGACTTCAAATGCTATAATTTAATAAACCAACTTTTTTTTCCTTCAGTCTGTTCTTTGAGCATTAGGTTAAAAAGCTCAGCCTAAGATAATGAGTGTTTCATAAAGAAGTGGTGCCAGGAGCTGGGGACAAAAAAATATTCCCGCTCAAAAAAAATAAAAAATTGGCAATTAGCTTCTCTACACCAAAATCAGGATTGATGTTTGGTATTGAAGATGGTCTGTACTTGATCAAATACTGGTAAAGTGCCACTTCTAAGCAAAAGTGGTCATGCTTTCTTTAGGTTTTGGATCATTGAAATAAATTTGGTTTCAGATTCTGTCATAAGAACTGTATTTACATTTGAGGTAAAGTCTACCATAATAGATTGAAATCTGTAATGTTCTCATGTATAAATTCAGAAACCTCTAACTTCTTCTTGCTTGTTAAGTCTTGTTAATTTTTTATCATATTTAGGATAGCAGAGTCAATAATAGCTCTGCTCTAACCTTGTATCAGCCAAATTGTAAATACCAAGAACATTATTACGCAATGCCAGAGAAGCATTCATCTGATTCAATAATTCAAAAACAGAACACTAATTAACATCACTAATAATAGGTTGAGGTTCCTCTTCATTCTGTGTTTGCTGGCTGCAGGTATTTCAGAGACATTACTGAGCCAAAACAGTCACAAACCTGAAATACGTTACTTACTCGGTAAGATTCAACTCATCTAACCTTTGACATCCATAGAATAAATGTTTACATTGTCTGGCTTGCCACGCCAGATTCTCTTTATCGTTGAGAGACACTGTAGACTATAGTTAGAAGATGCAATTCGTCTTGATTATCTTAGATGTCTGCTTTAGTACAAGATTAATCTCAGTGCAGACACCTGCATTTGCACAGGTATATCCCAGTGAGATGGAAGTGCCACACAGGAAGGAAAAAATGAAGCAAAATGGAAAAATTGAAACAAAGATGACATCCCGCTAGAGCTCTTGTGGTTTGGATTTGGTTTTCTTCTTTTGTTTCATTATTTTGCACAATGGAAGGACGTGGATATTTTACTCAGATTTGATCTTGTGCTTTGTCAAGTTAAACGTAAGAAGCCGAAGCTTTTCCTTTGGATCATTGTCCATAAGCATGTTAAAGCAAAGAACAGTGGAGCCCTTCAGACATCGACGTGTTTTGATAGAGCAGCACCTGTTGCAGTGTGCCTTCACGCTACGTTAACTCCTGCTTACATAGTGCAGGGAGTGAAAAGACAGTAAAGTGAAACTCCAAACATCCTATCTTCCCAACCAGCTGGCAAGCTCAAAGCCTTTGTTGCACTTTCTGGAGCCTTTCTCTCCTTTAATTGTTGACAGAACAAGAATGTGTTCATCATGCTGAAAACAGAAACGAATCTGAACAAACAATATCCCAAATTGTTTTTTAAGCAGGGCAGCGTTTATTCCTTTTAGCAAATGTTTAATCTGTATGAAATACTTCGAAAGCCTTAGCTTGGTCCCCAGCTCCTGGGGGAAATGCAGCTTGGTGCTGTCTTTTGTAGATGTTGCGGTCTGCACAGTGCAGCATAGGCTCGGATGAATATAATTCTTCTATCACACAGCAAAAGCTTCCAAATAACGTCTTTGATAATGCCGTGTAGTACTGCTGGATTAGGAACACAAAATGAAAACGCTGGTGAGAGAGTGTTGCTGTTGTGAGATTACTCGCTGGTCTCACAGTCTGTACCACCTCTCAGGACATAAATAATAACTTTCAAACAGTTTCTCTAAGGAGTTGGGCATTTTTATAGTAGCTAGGAGGTGAAATATCGAACCAAAACCCAATTGTGAAAGGAAGAATGGTTTCTGCTTTGAAAGTTTCCAAAGCATGAGGCAGACAGGCAATATACTATGGGAGCACAAAGATTCCTTCATGTATGTTACCTAGCCGCTCCCATACCACAGGAATGTGCCTGCTCGCCCCTGGCTAACTTTTTAATTACACGTTTATAAGACAATACATGAAATAATAATAGTAAAAAAGATAGTACAACTGCGTTTGACCTCTTTCTTTTATTAGCATATTTTATGTTCATATTTTACAATATAATAAGTTATATATACAGCATTAAACAAAATTATTAGAAAGTAAGCTTTGGCAAGATCTACAAGATTTTTTCATTCCTGTACATCTTTTGTGTAACAATAAAAATACTGTATACTAAATAAAATAATGTTAAATAGTCTGTGTTCACATTGGCACCAATGATTTCAAGACCCTAGATTTTTCAAGGCCCAATAAGCATAGAAACACGGATTCCTGTGTCATCTTTTAAGCATACAAATGGTGTGTACTATTAAATGAAACGTGAAGTATAGGAGACAGTCCCTTGACTAACACTGTTGTTACACACTGGCACAAGAGAAATTGAATCTTCCCATTTTCTTTTTTCCTTTTTTTTTTTCCCTTATTTTAGTAGTAACAGACCTAATCTGCAAACTCAAGGTCTTGAAAATCTTGAAGTTTGCAGAGTTGTCAGCAAATCTAGAAATCTTTCTGAAGCCTGTTGATGTCTGTACGAATTTGTCATTGATTTCAAGATAGCAAGAATTAGACCCATAAATTAAACATCAGTTAGCTAGTTAAATATTCAAATAAATGCAGCTTTCTTCTTCCTTTAAAATCAAAATTCTCATCAAATTTGGCATATGCAAATTAATGAAGAGTAAGTTATGATACCAAAGAGGTGGTGAAAGAACAGCAAGAAGGATAGGTTTTGTGTTGCAGTACGTACTTCCTCTATGATACAGATCAAGTGCTGAAAAGACCGGCAAATACAGATGTCAAAGTGGGATACTAAATGTTCAGCACAATTACCACACTATCATAGATAATATCTAGTTATTAAGTGATGGAATACTGGTTGTTAACTTCAGGGTTATAGTTAATAGTTTTTTATAACATTTTGTTCAGCCAAGCAGCTTGGAATTTAAATAGTATAGCTTTGCAAGTGCCAGTTCTTTTAATTCAGTGGCGACACTTGTTGAAACCTGTCAACGCTCCTTTTAGCTATAAATTAAGCATATACATTTGGTAACAGCTCCTGCCGTGTGGTCTGTACAAGTTTTACAGAACTTGTAACCAGCAAAATTGAAGTAGCTAATGGGACAAAACTAAGAGAAGATTTTGTTGCACACAACCTCACGATACTGCCTTACCTTCCAGAGGAGTGAGTTTTCATTTGCGGGGACTACAGTTCAGCATTTCAAAACACGTGTTCCTGTACATTTCAGCTGTCCAAAGAAATCTACTCTATTTGCTCTCAGTGTCAAGTGTTGTCTGTTTGCTGTTGTCTGAAATTCCTCTGCTTGAAACATCATTTGATATATAGATGTCACTACTGGAAAAAAATTGTTGTCGTAGTAGTGGACAAGCTGTTTTTTTTGGTAACAGCAAGGAAAAGAAAATCTTGTTGCTCTCCTTTCCACTCCTTAGTGGCTGCCAACTTTACTCCCTTCTTGCTAACCATCTCGCCCTAAGTGAACTTGCAGTTTGAATTTACCATTTTTGAAATGTCAGTATGGACCAAGAGTGCATTTACATGCATTATATACAGCGTTTTGAAGCACTTCCATCTATAAATTATGTTGGGGCTTTTTTTCATATAGTATAATTATTTTATCTGGAGATTGTGTATATATGCCTATGCACGTGCTTCTAGATTCAACAAATCCATAGGAAATACAGAAAATGAAACTGGTTACATATTAAATGCATTAGAGCTGATAGAAATGTAGGTGCCTAATGTGATTAATTGATACTGTAGCAGTGGTGCTGTTGACTGCAACAATTAAATGGTTGAACAAAGCCCTAAGAGATAGGAATATCTTCAGATAGCAATTCAGTGGCTTGAAAGCCAGGTGGGAAGGGTAGTGACAGGGTTATCTGCACATACACTCAAACATAGACTGAAAAGTGGATCCTTTTCTGTCCACTTATTGCAAGTAACTGTTTAACTTAATCATTTTGTTTAATGACATGCTTCATACCAAGCTTCTCAGGAGATTTCTGCTCTCATTTTGGTAGACGTGTAACTTCACTTTTTTTAGAAGTACAAGAGAAAAGCTTCCCATCAGTATGGGGAGTGATTACACAGAAGAAACGCCATGAGTCTCTTGTCCAAAGTCTTTGGCGTGCTGCTGGCTGGAATCATTGCTCTCGCAGGCGATGTGGGAGCACAGGCACGTCAGGACGTCACTGCTGGTTCAGGAGCAGGCATCGCTTGCGCCCACTCCAGGATATCTGCACACAAGGACTCGACAGCGTCCAGCCGCTCGATTTGCACCAGTTTGGTTAGCAGTTCTGGGATGCTGTAGCCCGCTGTGCTGATGCGATCGAAAAGCTGCATGCCGTCTGTCATGCCACCTATTTCATCTCGCTTCAGTCCAAAGCTCTCGGCGAGGTGGCGCCACGTTTTCACTATGGCTTTCTCTGTGTTGTAGGTTGAGCTGAGCATGCGGCTCGTCTTCTCCAGGCAGTCAAATGGCAGCTCCGTAGGGCTCAGACCTGCAAAGGGAGGTGTTTATGGTCAGATGGCTCTGTGAGCAAGTCTTGGCTATTCAAGGCATTTATTAAAATGCTGCAGTGTATGCTGATAGCAATAAGCACGGCTAAAATCTTTAAGTGAGAGTCCCTGATAGATATGTCTAGCTTCAAAGTTATTGCCATATCTTACCTGGCCACAGTAGGGTACAATATTCATGGAATAACTGAGGTAAAAAGTAGGATGGAAAAGAAATACTGGATGGGTTTTATGTGTTCCTATGGTACTACCCCTTCCTGCAACGATTTACTTGCTATTAGAAGTGTATTGGAAACATATCCCTAGTGAGCAGCTCCATTAAACACACCTCTGCACGTCCAGCATAGTGTTTGAGCTCGAGAGACAGCTCTGACCCTTCCCTGAGTCTGTCAGCAGAAGCTGCTGTAACATTGCTGTAATTGAAAGTTGCCCTTGTAGGAATGTGAGGAGCGAGGTGAAGCAATGATGCCAGATGCTCGCAAGCATAAAGGACCCTGCAAATGTTCAATTGTCATTGCTATCACTGAGTCTCTAGAGAGGATTTAACATTCATCCTGTGAGGAAAAAACTATTTTTTCCTGGACTTTTTTTTTTTCTATGTACTACTGGTCACAGAATAGAGGAGCGAATCAGCTAATCTTTTTCTTTTTCTTTGTCTTTTTTTTTTTTCCTTTTTTTTTTTTCTGAAAACAGTCTTTTGCTTCTGTAGTTTTCCTGCTTCATACCCCACAGCAGCAATTTGGTGGGAAATGGAGCTCCCTGAACCATAGAAAACTCACAAAGGTATGTGCACATCAAGTGTGTGGGAAAAAAAAAGGTAAATGCAGTCTTGTCCTTTGTTCTGCAGGAAAATTAATTCATGTCCCTTCTGCCGAAACACTACAGCTAGTCAAGTGCTGAAGACACTTAAAACACTGACCTACTTGGAAACTCCACTTGTGAGAAGTGGGACAGCATTTAAAGAAGCAGAGTAGATCGAGACTTTTGTCTGAAATGCAGTTCTGATCCTTCACAAATCACACTTTTCTCTGGAACTAATTTATACCTGTTATCCACCTCACTAAAGGGACCAATCAAGCAGGTTTCCTCTAGATGAAGAACATGATAGTGCTTCTCCACAGCGTCAATGTCCAAGCATGACCCAGCACTACCCTTGCTGCTCTCCAGAGGAAGGAAGACCATGCACACATCTGGAGGGAAGCTGTGGTGTGCAAACCCAGCCCTGGACAGCTCTGAAACGGGGACATCATGATGCTTCCTAGCAGGTGAGTACGAATCTGCTCACAGGGTCTTTTTCCAGATTTGCACTTCCTTTCCATGAAGCTCTCCTTTCCACAGGAACACAGAGGGATTTCTATTTTATAGCAAACTGCTCTGATCCAGTTCTGTGCTGCCAGTATAGGTGCAAGTTTTGTGCACTCACCTTCTGCGACGTCGCATACATTAGCGTACACATCCAGTATCTTTTTCCTTCTACTTTGAATCTGAAAGAGAAGAGCATTATTGCATTATTTTTTTCAGTCACGTGAGTAAACAATTGGCAGAGAGCAGTACAAAACCGCTGGGAGATCCTAATTTCATGGCTCAAGGGGTTATCACATAACATCCTGAAGGGTCTCTTTTGAAGCCTTATAGAGCAGGACACAGCAATTCAGTGAAAAGTAAACATATTTCTGCTTTTGCTTTCTGCTGCTAGAGATCTTTCTTTCCGTCTTTTTATGTTGTTTTAGATCATTGACTTTTCTGCTCTAAATGTTTTTGTGTTTTATTTCTTTTTCAGACTGAAGCAACTCCTGACAATGAGGACAAATTCAATACCACACATGCAAGCAATTAATGCAGGGATTCCCAGGTAAACCAGGAATTTGGCCTGAAACTGGCCACGGGGAATTAAATTCAGACTGGTATTGCCTTCTTCCAATAATGTCAGAGGGCTGTAGAGGAGGGGATCTTCTTTTCTGTCACCTGACATAGAGCTGCTTGTTGCGTTACTGATTAATTATATATTTTCTTCCATGACGTATTGCCTGGGTGAATCCGAAGGATTTTACAGATAGATAAAAAAATCAGTGACACTTTAGACAGGGAAAATCTGAGGTCCAGGGCGCTGCCGTCATTTCTGACCATCATTTTTGACAAGAAAGAGACTCAGACTGAAAACCCTGACATTTTCCAAGCTGAAAAAGGACATTTTGATGTGGTTTCACTTAGCAAATATATTCTCAAGGTTTGGCCTTGGATTCAATGCGGATTGAAAACAAATGTCAAAATGTCATGAGTTCTCAAGGACTGGAATTGTTATCTCTCTGCCAGCTCTCATTAGGACTGAGCTTTCTGAAAAGCTGTCATTTCGGTAGGACTCTAGTACTATCTCCACAAATTCACCGCTTTTCACTGCAAAACAGAATGAAGAAAGCTCTCTCTTGTTTATTTATTTATTTATTTATTCATTTATTTATTTTTGAAAGATTTTCCTCATTTTATTTGGGCTCTAAAGGCACAGGGCACATCATTTACTTGGATTAATAGACTTGCAGCTGGAGACAGCAAACTGGCTGCTCCACCCGACGCCTGTCTCACAGCATGCTGTATTGCAGGGAAATGCAATGCAGACACTGGCTGTTGTTCACATATTCTCCGTATAATTTATGTTAATCATCGGGATGCTACTGAACACTTGGATTAGCTGTTTCAGAATTTTACAGATTTTATTTTATTTTTTTTACCATGGGATTTATTAAAATTCCTCTTAAGATAATGATTAGGTACCTATTTTCATTCTCCCCTCATTTTTAGGGCAAAGAGGGAGGTTAAAGAATTCCAAGCCCAAAAAGAATTACACAGGGTGATCTTTTTGCCCGAGCCAGAAGACGGAAATTTGTAAAGCTTACGCTGGGAGCAAGCAGGTAAATTTGGGTCTGATGGTCCTCTGTGTTGTAGCTCATTCCATTATGTTTTTATTGTTTTAACCAGGGAAGAGCAGCCTTGGAAAAGCACTGGCCTTTAACTTTCTCCACCTCTCTCCAGTAGCTGCTTAATACTCTTTCCAGTACTAGAAATGTTATTTAATCTCTACCCTCAAGCAAATTACTGCTTTTCTAGCTTCTGGCAACTGGCTTAGTTGTAAAATCTCAGGTACGGAGTGGGGGATCTTGATGCAATCTGCACTTTCATCGAAAACTTTGTCTTCAGCCTTGTCAGTAGGCTTCAGTCCATTACCAGCATGTTAGGACAGTAGGTCTGGGAGAAATAGCTCATGCTTCAGATGTCCTTATGCGCTGTCTAAACTACTCAGGAGAAGGTATCTACTATATATTGTCTTTAGAGATGATTATTTTCTTATTAAAAGTTCTAATTTCATGCTTACCCAACTTCTGTTACCCAATTTCAAGCAAGTGTATGCAGAAGTGTGATAAAGTTGGATATATACACAGAGACCTCAGACAACTGAATTTTAAAATATGAGCTTTGGAGTAGTAAGTAATTTTCAGCTAGCCATAACTGATTGCAAATAGAAAAACATCTTTCTTGGATTAAGACTTTGAGTGTCTGGTCTCAGCTGAAAAACAAGCTATTTTAGAAAGTTTAAGCTGAAGCATCCCAGCAAAGTAAAACATGCAAACATGAAAAGATGTATTTTCAAAACTTTTTAATTCTTAAAAAGAAACACGGATGATATTAATGATGCATTGTTCTCCTAGCTATTGCCAATTTTAATTATTTTTGAAGTTCTAAAACATAACAAATATCTGAGCAGACACTTTATTTTCAAGGAAACATTCATTTTAATATAAACTGAATAGTTGTGTGGGTGAGGGAGTGCCTTAGCGATGCCTTGAAATAGTCTAAGATAAAATGCCTTCAGCGATACAGATTCAGCAGGAAGAAATGAAGGCCTTCTACAGCAAAACAGTGCATTTATGTTGCCCTTCAGAGCACAGGAATGACCTTCAAAACACGTATGTATTTTTGAAATGTAAAAAAAAACAAAACACGACAACAAGCACAACACTGGATGTTGTTGAAAATTCAACGGCATAGAAATACCAATGAGTTAAGACAGGCAGATGTTGTGCTACAGTAAGAATCCAACATTGCTGCTACATTATTTTATTTTTCTGCAGTTAATGTAGCTTTGGGGTTAATTATATTAGCATTAGCTACATGGGTGAGTTGCAGTTTGTTTTTTGTTTCTTCAGACTATAAAACATAATTCTCTAAAAAAGCAAAGCTACTACTCTTGTAGCAATCTGCTTTTCAACACTGGGCAGTATATATACATATGCACTGACACAAATATTGAAGGAATATTATATGCCATTATGCAAATGAGACTGTAATAAAATTATCTGTAGAAACTCTCTTGTAACTTGTAAATTAGACTTGTCTTCATTACAATGCATTTTTGTGGTGATAGTTTGTAAATTGTTTTCTTAAAAAAATCAAACATAACAACAATAAAAACAACACAGAAAACAACTGTCAATTTTTAAATCTCAAAGTAGCCTTACCCCAGTCGATTTATTGTTTGTAGAAGATTTATCTCTGGCCAAATGCACTAAAGATAACAAGCATCTCTCTGGAGTCCCTTGCTTGTCAACTGCAGCTTCTTCATCGCTATCCATGCTACGACTTAAAAGTCGTTCATTCTCAGAAGATGCATCGTTTTCACTGTAAAATGAAGGATAAGGTTATCTTAGTGATGCCTCTTGTGGTTTGACTCCAATTATTTCCTTTTTGCTATCCAAGAGTAATGGAATAAAAATGTTTTCAGTTTTAAAAAATGCCTTTCCCCTGAAATCCTGTAAATGTAACTACATCCACCTACAGAAGATGTATGTTCAATGCTCACCAAGCTGCACAATTATGCTCATCTTACAAGAATCCCTTCATAGAAGGATTTTCCACTGGGGACGGTCTTAACCTAACTGGAGTTGTGTTATCCAGCCAGGTTTGGCTGCCAGGCAGATCCAAGGAGAGGAAAACTATCACGCAGTGCCACCCAGATGATGCTATAGATGAGAGGTTCCCTTAACGGCCTGGAGCAGTTATTTCTGCTTCTCCTGGCTGAAAGTGAGTGGGGACCTTACCGAGGCATTATGTGGGTAAGTGATACTCACATCCCCTTAATGGGCCTCACAAAAGAGGAGACAGCCCTGAGAACTGATAAACTGGTCACAGGTACTAATGAACGGCTCAAGGTAACGTTTTAACACATGGTGGCTGTGATCACCTTTTCCAGAAACTCTGATACCTGTGGCTGTCCCATTGACACATTATTCCTTGGTCTATTAGACTTGAAATTTTGGTGCAGATTATTTCTACTTTGTTCTACATGGATTCCTCTGTACCAGGATGAGTGGTGACTATGTCCCTTCCCCACTTCAGTCAAAGGTATGGAAGTATGTTTATTTTTTGCTTACCTTTTAGCAGCCTTAGCTGGAGTTGCTGTAAGCTTTTCAAACTCTTCTTTCTCAGAGAATATCACAACATTATCTGCAGATCAACAGAAATTTAAATTGGCAATGAGTATCCAAATTGGTGTTTTGTCTCTGCTTTAGCTACTGCTATCATAGGATGAAGTGGCATTCTGGAAGTACAGAAGCTATTATACACAATCATTTCGTAAATGGAGAAGGAATGGGGGAATTGTAATTAAGAGGAATGCACTAATTGCACTTAAGCTCAATGTTAGAAAAAGGATAGAAAAAGCAAAATTAAAGCAACTTATACCTTGCACTTCTTTCTTCTCTTCTTGTGTATTAGCCTGAGCTTCAACATTTTTTACCGAGTGGCTCTTGCAACAGGCTAGAATGTAAAGATACAACAGTAATTATTCTCAGAAGCTACCTAAAAATAGCATTTGCTGCTAAAATTTGTTATGCTGAAAATTACCTTGAGCAGAAGGTTTTGTTTTCACAATGTAAAACATGATGATGAGGACAATGGCAATAGCCATTATGAATATAGTAGACATTGCAATTATAAGAGCTGTAGCCAGATGTCCTTGTCCTGAAAGGTCTGCTGGAAAAGCAAAGAAATACTTTGTAAAGAAGCAACTCTTCAGATCAGAGAATAGTTAGCAGTTTAGTCTGCTCTACACTTATATTTTACATACTCATTTATTTGACCTGAGTCCTGGTTACTTGTTAATCATTGCAAAACCAAGTGCTACTTCTCAAATGCAAACTAATGAATAGGCTTTTGAAACGGTGACATTTGTGCTGCAAGAACTAGTTATCAGTATTCATAAAAAATACCTGATTTCATGACCATCCAAAGATATATGAAATTGTATTATCTGCTAATAATATAGGAAGCTATATGTAAGCAGGAATGGCAGCCTTCAAAAAAGTGAATTCTCAGAAACAGCATCAAAAAGAAAGAAAAACAAACAAACAAAAAATAAATGGGACAAGAACTAAAAGTACTTGATAACTATAGCTGCCTCAAAAGCTTTGCAGTAAGAAGGAGAACACAATGCACATGTGGAATAAGTGTTGTGTTTTTTTTTCTAACAGACTTAAAACACAGCATAGATGCAGGGTGAATTTGAAATAAGGTATGTGAAAAGGTAGAAGCAGAATTACGGTGAACAGCTATTAGAATTGAAAAGTCATGAAAGGATGCAGAAAATGACAGATATGTTAAAATGCATGAAAACTAGCTTTTCTGAAAACACAATCCTCAAGAACTTGTTTACAGACAAAATCAGGTCTGTATCTCAGTAACTGTGCTCTTCCTCTTGTGTGTTCTGTTCTGATGTTCAAATATTTTAAAAACCTAATAATCATACTGAAGAACAGTTTATGTTGGCTCAATGAGAGACTGACTATATTTGTGTATTAAATTGTTTTCACCAGTCTAAGCTAGGCTTTGCTGAGGCATAAGGTGGTATCTGTATGGCTGCACATAATGAGCTAATTCATTGCTGGCATTACCCCGCACAGTCCAAGACTATTTTAAGTCCATCCTTCTGAAGCAGGAGTGTTGATTAACCAAGGACTAAAAAATCATTCTGAAATGTTTTTAATAGCAGTTTTAGAAATCTGGAAAGAGTGGCAATGAAATTCACAGTAGATATTATCAGTTCAGTTGCACTTTGTTGATGTTATTTTCAAGACCGTGAGCAGCTACATTAAATTTATGGATGCCTTCTTACCTTTGTGAGCATGCTGGTAAGGTGAAAAAGTACTTGTGCCAGATGTGCTTGGGAAAATGGCCGAAATGCCAGAGGTAGCCCCTGCACCTGCAATATAAACAGAAATGCCATAAACTTCCACAGTCATTTCATCTCTTCACAGCGGTATCTTGGCCCAGGTAAACAGCCTTGCCTTATCTTGATTGCATTTCCTGTTCATTAGCAAAGAACCCATGAATTCATTGTGGCTTTTTGAAATGTCACTAATCCCAGCGTGCGTGGCTGGCATGTTGAAAATTGTGTTTAAAATACATTTTTGCATAGCATCTACAGGGAGGGGAAGAAATAAAAGCTTGTGAACTGTCAGGAACTGAGAAGAAACTCATCAAATTAGTGCTTCTGACAGGTATCCTTCACTATAGCAAGACCACCATGAAAATCTGATGTTAAACTAACCTTCACAATCCCATAGGAAAACCTAGGAAAGGTGACAAACAAGAATGTTGAATGCCTTTCTGTTCCATGGAGCTGTACCATGGAAGGAAATATGATTGTTTCTGCAATCTAGCTGGATAACATGTTTCTTATGATTCCTTCTGTCAGTCCAGTCAAATCTATATCCTGGGCGGTGGGGGAAATCCACAAAACCAGTTAAATGAAGAATGTAAAGGGCTTCATACCAACAGAGTGAGATTGTCCAGTAGGGCTTTTCCATGTCTAAATTCTACAGCTAAGTTTAAACGTTAGTTTATGTTTATATTAATCTTTCAGGTGGTGTCTTACATCAATTTTTCAAAGCAGTAAACCAAGTCATAAACTAACATCTTTTCACAGTACTAGACAATACTGAATGTTATTGGAAATAACGTTGTTGATCTGAGGACTGTATTAAAATACAGATGGTGCTGAAATAGAGTTCCAAAAGAGGCGTAAAAACATTGGGGTTGGAAGAAAACCTTCTCTTGAGTCTCGAGTCATTTTTCACATAATTGGTAAGCAGATTGTGCAAACAGCTACCATTGACAGCAACTGAAAACCATCTTCTAGCTGGGAGGGGGGTAAGAAATCCCTCCTGCTTTATATTAGCTGTGCATGGAAAAGATCCAGTGATGATAATTAAATTCAGCAGACCTAAAGCCAGAAGACTGTCCCAATCACCTGGTGAGATACACAGAGCACATGGCTCAACAAGCTGGTGTGGCAACTAGAGTAGCTGGGAACTCACCAAGCCATTATTTTGACCTAGTAAAGAAATTCAACCCACTAGGTAAAGTTGACAGGAAATTAAGTGGCCTGGAATGGTCTGAGAAATGTTCCGTGGTTAAGAACAAAGAAATAGACATGCTCTTCAAATTAAGACAAATGTTTTCTAAAAAAAAAAAAAAAAAAGTATTACCTAACATAAAACATGGCTGCATGTAGTGAATGAGAAATGTACGCTCCTTAAGTGGCCACAAAGTATGAGTTGCAGATGTTTTCAAAAGAGATTTTCTTTAACAATGGTAAAATTTCTTTCAAACTTAATTTCTTGGAAGGAAACGGACTCATTTATTATAATTGCTTTTTTGAAACTGAAGAAGTGTTTTCATGAAATTTTAAATACACTAATTTGTTAATTCAGATGCTTTTAGTATTATGCAAATGACAGGCAGATTATGTAAATTATGACTCTGGGTTCTTCTCTGTGACAGAGTTGGTTCTAGGAAGAATTACTCACAAGCTCCAGAACCTGCAGTGGAGCAGTGGAGCATCTACGTATCAGTGGGTGAAGAGGTCATCTGTGTATAATGGAGTTAACGAGAGAGAAATTTTCAGCAATTCTTCATAAAACTGAAATGAATCACCCTTGGTCTCAACCCATCTATTTACTCATCCCAGCTGGACAGTGGAAGAAATCTAGAAAATGGCCAATGTTGTAGCCAGAGACGTGTCTGTTCTTTCATGTCCACGGCTACCAGGCTTTTGCCTCTTCTTGCCACCTCCCCCGGCAAACCTAATTACAGGCAATTGCAATTCTGTGCAATTCTTGCAAGCTGCAACAAGTCAACAATAGCTTTTCTCCCACTGCCTTTCAATTAACACAGGCAAACTGCTCTGCTTTGTCTGCTAGCAGTTTATCTAACAAGCTTGAGCTCGTCTCCCTTATAAGCAAGTTATATCATACTCCCTTTTCCTTCACTCCAAACATGTATTAATTGTATTTCTGCCTAATCAATCCTTTAGTCACTTGGTATTTTTAGCATATTAGGTATTGTTAGCAATGTTTTTCATCTGTGAAAGGAAGGAGAGCCAAGGTGAGAAGTCATGCAGCAGCACATAACAGGAGAGGTAATGGGGAAGGTCATCTGGTCCTAATTCAGCATCATTACCACACTTCACCCAGCTCTACCCAACATCAAGATACAGCCTCTTTCCCACCCCAAACACAAGCTGGAGCCTCTCCAGTGCACAAGGGTGAGCACCTTCAGCTTTGGAAGAGCCTACGTGCAGAATTTTCCTTCTCTTACATGGGAATGGGACTACATCGTTTGTTCTGTGCTACATATCAAGATCTGGGTTGATGCTACAACGCGATGGCCTCTTACATACGCCTATGTGGGAGTTAGTCATTATGCATATTTTAAGCCTATTATCAAATTTAATAATTTGGCTTATTCATTATGAGCCAAGATAGTTCTTTAGATGTGGCTTAGAAGCAAGCGCCAATTAATGCACCTGCACTACAAGGGGAACCAAATATGCCAGCTTCTGCAGAATTTCAGTTCATGGCATTTTTGCACAGGCAAAAAGAAGCAAAGCTTGTAGTTGCTGCTTTTTCCTGGTCCGGCAGCATACCATGACTCCAATGTCAGTTGTTCCTACACGTATCCAGTTTTGCATCTAGATCACATTATTAATTCTGGTTCCAATACAGATGACACTTACATAATCTACAAAGACTTAGATACAGCTCAGAAAGAGACATCCTAAAGTGCTAGAGTGCAACATATGGAAACAACTCTGTTTTAAGCACAAAAAAAAAAAAAAAGACTGATGGCTGTAATATAGCTGTGCAAAAGAGTGGTTTATATTCCTAGACACCTGTAAGTAATATTGTAGGAATGTGATAAAGACATTAAGAAAGATGGTTATCACCGAAGCTTTGTCAGTTTTTGCATTAGAAACATTTTTATTAAAAAAATATAAATAAAAAATGGCAGTCTTTTTTGTTTGTTTGTTTGTTTTGTTTTGTTTGTTTTTTATTTCAAAAGATAGTTCTAATTTAATTTGCCAGGCAGCCAGCCTTTCGTCCCCATAGTGAAGAAATGCAGGGCAGTAAAATAATATTTTCATTTTAAAGGCCCGTTCTGCTGTGTGTGACAGGACCATTGCAGCTGTTTGTGTATCTCAAGGCAGATTTACAGTAAGAAGTGATGAACGAAACCGCCAGATCTGTGGGAGGAGGAGGGCGCAGGGAGGGGAGGTTTTGCCAACATGCCCTCTCACAAGTGTTTGCGCCTGAATGAAATCTGGTGCAGTAGGAGACCATATGTGTTTCTGACTTACACTGCTGTAGGTGTCAGCTTACTGGTCCCAGCAAAGGAGTGCTGCTCACAGCCAGCAACAGCTTTTTTTGGTGAAGTTTATTTAATACTTAATGACAGATTATAAAAATACACAAAGTGTGTAGGCAACAGACTATCAGAGTGATCCTGAAATAAGAAGCGTTTTAAAAATGTCTTTATGCGTGTATGCGTTTGCTTCTTGCTACTGAGAGCAGCTCGCTTTCTCCTGATGAATCCCTCTCCTCACAGCCACAGGTCCATTTATGAATGGCAATCCATACTCGTTACTGCCAGCCGAGCTGTGCCTGCAGCCGCTGTGACCATTTTGAAGGAGTGAAGTAAGATAAAGCACACGCTGAAATAAATAACTAGCAGCCTGAAATATGAGTCGAAAAATATATTGTATTTAGTCGAAATTCGATAAAGGTAGAAGGTTGATGCCTGACAAAGTAATCGGAAACTAGATTATAACGGAATCTAGTCATAAATAAAGACCTAGATATTTTGAAAGTGCAGGTCAGAATGTTCAAATTAATGTAAATGTCTATTCAGATACGTACATGAAAGGTTTACTTTCAAACCTAAGCTTACAACACTTCATATTGAAGCCCTATACACTTGGAAAGTCATGGAAGCTGAAGCAGCTGTCAAAATTAAGCTACTTTTTAAGGCATCTACGTATGAATTTAGCATCAGCCAACTCTAAAAACATTGCAAATCACTAATAACAGAGAATATCCCAGACACTGGAAGACTGCCTGACTGCTTCTGATTTTACTGGCTGTTATTTTCAGGAGACATACAGAATACTATAAGGCAGGTCACTCTAATATTTACTGTAGCTGCAGGTACATATTTCAGCAAGTTTAGGTATTTTTTATCACAGGAAGAATGAGAAGCAAACCATTTCTCTAGTGTGAACCCTCTACAGATTTTGATAGCAAAATTCCTGCAGTCTTAAATTTTAGATCTGGTCATTCTCACTGCAAGTAACCACTGCTGCTCAGACACCTAAAAATAAATACTTTATGCTGTCATGCTCTCTGTAATGTCTTTAACTGTTTCATTTCTCTCTCTTTTATTTTTCTGGGAAGTGGTGTGATTATAGGATGTGTGGCCTTAGACTGACAATTTATTTACATCTACTGTAGTTTTGTTTAGGATTCACTGAGAGCTTTAATTGTATGGGCATGTCATAAATACATGCAGCAGGAATTAAACTCAGCTCTGGGAATTAAGTGTTGCCATCTCCTTCTCTGTGCAACACGAAGGGAATAACAGCAGTATAGACCCTGCTACAATGTCCCTGAGCAGGGACCCTGAGGAGTTTTTCTCTCATATGCCCCTGTACCTTGGTAGCCAGTTTGTGCAGGTGGTGAAATGCTGTGGCCCTGCAGGTTTGCAGCAGGCTTGTGAGACAGGACAGAGCAATGCTACAGGCACCTGCAACCTCTCCTGGGGTTTGTGGTCCTCCAAAGTCCTCAGAGTTTTCAAGTGGGCTGCAGTGTGACCAGATTACCTCCTGCGTGATACGTGGGCCCACCTTTCCCAGCAGTTCAAGAGAGCAAACCCCGTGCTTGATCCTCAGATCCCTCCCCTTTAAGGTTTATGGCTGAGGCTGGCCAATTTTGTCCTAATATTAGGTTCCTCTCCTAATATAGGCAAGCCCTGAGGGGATGAGAATAAGGCCATACCACCAGTGAACAATAAAGCACTGCCTTCAACATTTCTCCCATTCCACATGTGAAGAGGAATGGGGTGTTCAGAGATCAAACAACTCAAAAAAAAAAAAAAAGTTTGTTAGCTCCAGCTAACAAGCTTATTCATTTGTAAGCATAATTTGAAACAGAAGGAAAATGTCCTGATGTTGATCATATTACAAAAGGACAAAACTGGCAAGGAAAGAAAATTAGCGATATTACAAAGAACGGGGAGTTAAAATAAAAACCTATGGAATAATTATTTTTCACTAATGCAAGTGCTTTTGGCATTAGGCTTGTTTGTGTTAAACATTTCAGTTAAGGAGTCTGATGTCTCAGTCCTGAGCACATGGGTATAGCAGTGACCACTGATTAGAGCTTGTCTGAGATGTCAGCCCATTAGTAAATTGTTCTTTCTCATCTGTTCGGCTGTTTTTGAAGTTCTAACGAGACAACAATAAAAATAATCTTTTATGTTTCCAGATGCCATTTACTCTTTGGTAATTCAAAAATAACTTCACTACAATTGTTTTTCTTTGTTGTTGTTGTTTTGTTTTTTTTTTTTTAATTTTGCTAAGCCATCACTGGCATATGTTAGACTTAAAAACTTACACAGGTTGATCATTGCAACCATTTTCATGTTTATGGCCAGGCAAAAAAAAACAGAGGAATTAAAAATGTTTTGCATCCATGCACACATAAGAATGCATAGAGGAAGAAAACCCTCGATCCATTGCTGAAATTCCCGAAATCAATAATTTGTGAGTGGAGAAGCATTTGCATATTTGATGTAATTGTGTAAATACAACTTCAAAATATAATGTTCTTTGAGTTTTTGTAACAGGGTTAGATTTTGTTTTCCTCCATCACTTTCGAACTGAAATGGCAAATATCAAAGTTTGAGCAGAGGAGCAAAGTTATAAAATGGTTGAGAACTGCAGCTGTGCAAAGATAAAATCTCTTCCAGCAGTGTCTGTACCTCTGTGCCAGATAAACTCTTCGTAGCTTAAATCTTCTGTCCTTTGCATATATTTTTACATTGGATAAAAGAAAACAAAACAAAACAAAAAAACAACCCTACATATTCAGAGGCCTCAACTGACTCCAGTGCCAGAGCTGTTGACAGCAAAGCCAGCACCATTAACTGTGGGAAGCCACATCTGAAAGTGGATTGGTGCTCACTACCTGCAGTGCATCATCCCCCAATTTGCATAGGAAGCCTGCATCCAGTAGCTCTGCATCCCTTACTCTCTGCAATGCTGCCAGTTATCACAGAGGTATCATATCCTGGTCAAGTGTTGGCAAGGGTCACTGATGGCTCATGATCTCCTTCACAGGCAGCTGAAGGTCTCACATCTTTGATGTTTTGGCATTGTGCCCCTCTGGCCTTAGCAAGCCAGGCCTGAGGCTTCTACACATTAGAACTGAAGATCTCAAAGTCTTACACATAGACATTTCACAGTGCCCAGGAGATGAATAATTGCAATCTTTATGGTGATGTTTACTCCTTTCAAGAGACAAACTCTTTTCCAAGTAAGAAAATGCTTTCCTCTCAAATAACTAGTGAGAGGACTAGAGGGAATGGCCTCAGGTTGCACCAGGGGAGGTTCAGGTTGGCAATGAGGAGCCATTTCTGCTCAGAAAGAGCAGTCAGGCACTGGGATGGGTTGCCCAGGGAGGTGGTGGAGACACCACCCCGGCGGTGTTCAAGGAGAGGTTGGGCCTGGTGCTTAGGGACATGGATTAGTGGGTGACATTGGTGGCAGGGAGATGGTTGGACCGGGTGATTTTGGAGGGCTTTTCTAACCTTAAAGATTGTGTGGTTCTATAGCACACATCCTCATGCCCACGTAAGCACACTCCTTGCCCTCTACAAGCACTTTTCCCACAAGCCACCACTGAATACTGACATCTCTCAAAGACCACAGAAAATTATTGCTTTTATCCTTCAGTCCGGAGAGAGATTTTCAACACTGTAATCTGGTGATATGTTTATCTCAATTAAATATCTGACCTATACACAAAATCTCCCTCTCCTCCCCCTCTGATCCATTGTACTTGTGCTATTTATATCACAAGTCCGTTCAGAAGAAAAAAATAAAGGTGACACAGGCTCATCGGGGAATCTCTTTCTCACTTTCCATACTCTTTACACTAATGTTTCCAGATGCTGGGACACAGGGCGTTCATCTTGTTTCCTCAGCCATTTCAAGGTTTATTGACTGTTTAGGAGATGAAAGTTGCACAGCAGGCTCTTGGAGTTGAAAGTTATTTGTTTACCCTTTGATCAAAACCAAATACTTTTCTGCCAGACAAAATGTACAGTCAGGCAAAGTCTTTGAGTAGGTTTCCCTGCAGCAGCACACATACCCAGCTTAGTTTGTGTTCTGTGGCCCTGTTTACCATGGAGGCTAGATGAGGTAGATATACTCTAGCGAGGTATTTTCGCACCACTGTCCTTCAGTCCTGGCTCAAACCTAATGAAGGCCTAAAATGGGATTTGTCTGCCCTATTTTTTTTTCCTTAATCTAGAAGAAAAGTATTAAAGCCATAACTTGTCGCACCCAGCTTCCTACTTTGAAGTAATTTGCCACCCTTTTTTCCCTGCCATCTTTTGGGTCATCTCTCTCCAGTTGTGTGCCATGCAGAGGAGTATTTGGATAAAAGGCAGCTCTGGGGAGCAGCACCCTGGCAAGGTTTCAGACATCATAAACCAAATTACCTGAGCTTAGTGATTTGAGGGATTTGGATTTTCAGAACCTTTCTGACCCATTGAACAATTGTAATCAAATGTTTGGTTTCATGGACCTGATTAAAATGGTTATGTTTACTCTTTGTACGGCTAACATTTTCGACATTAATATTCAGTCAGTTTGTAGGTTGCCTAAATTCCTCCCAAAGATAGTATATTTGTTCTTGTGTTTATGAAGTTAAAAATGCATGTGTTTAATCCCTTGTGCAATTGACACTTTCCTCGCAAAAGTAAGCACATTATATGTGGTATCTGCCAGATATCCTGCAAAAGACAAAGATTTGTTTTCGGAATTGAGAAGTAGCTGTAACATCTTGCAGTAGTTCCTTGCCAGATGAGTAAGCTACAATATGTTTGATACTACTGAAAATCCATTTCAGCATGTGTTTAAGGCAGACCATTGGAGCTGCAGAAGCGATTCATCTCCGATTAATCCTGCTATCTCATGCCATCTTTTATTTTGGAAATGAGGCATATTGGGGGTGTTTGTAGCTATATACTGGCTGGTGGCATCCTGAGGAACTGGTGAGATGAATACCCCGCACCTTGAAGCAAGACGTGGCATGCTAACAGGGTTGTTTGCTTGTCTGTTTGCCAGGTACGACCGATCAGCCTCTGATCGAGTCAGGCTCTAGGGCCTAGCCGGCTTGGGTGCCCTCAGCAGCGGTGGGCTACTGGCTAGCAGCAGGCATGGCTATATACCCATCAACAGGGCGGCCAGCCTGCACATGCATGCAGAAGGTGTGTCCCACACTACATGCCCTCATCTCCCACCGAGCCTCCTAACCTCGTGTTTTCACCTACCTCTCCACCTCCTTCCCACATCTCACATCAGGGCTCTCCCTCACACCCTTGCCTCCAGGACCCAACCTCACCAGAATTATACTCACCCTGTCCTCACCCACTCCTGCTTTCTGGGATAGAAGTGCACATTTTGGGACTGGTTGGGGTCCTGCAACCAGGCAGGGTGAGCTGACCACCAGGCTGCACACATATGGGTCAGGGGAGTACCTCCATATGGGCTATCACTGCTCACCAGGAGCTCTGCAGGTTGGGATTTATCCCTGGCTAACCGGAGCTCCTCTGCTTTAGGAAAAGTAGTAGCTGTTAATAGCCGATCCTCCTCCTTTGAAGTGGCTTGCAGGGTACCAACCACACACAGTTCAGCAGCATCTGAATTAGGTAATTGCTATTTGTATACATAAATAAATGCTCAGGGAGCTTTGTATCAACCACTGCTTTCAAATCAAGCAAGCAAAGTATTGCAAGTCTTTTTCATGGTAAGGACTTTTAAAAGACCAGAACATGGAGGGGATTTTGTTTTTACATGCATCAGGTTTCTCTGGGGGACTGGCTGTTTTCATCTTTTTTTTTTTTTTTTTTTTTTTTTCCTCCTGGTCTGCTCCAGATTCTGAGTGAGCATCCAAGTCATTTGCTCATTCAGAGGGAGCCTCAGTTTTGCTTTTCACTTTCTCACTTTCTTTATGCTTTAAAGGAGAATGTAGTCTTGTTGGGGGAATTACTTCTGCTTTAGAGTGCTACTGCAGGGCTGTCCCTGCTCTCCACAGCCTGAGTGACTATTGCACACAAGAATGTGTACTGCCAGCATGTTGCACACACTTGCATACATTTTTTTTTTCAATCAGCAAACTATAGGCATTTCCCTTTTGTCGATGAAATATACAGTTATCCCTATTATCAGTGCTGGCTATCACACTCCAGCACTAACAGCTGTATCACTTTGAAACCAAAGGATGTAAAAAGGTGTGATGTATTTTTATGAGGAGCTATAAAGTGTTCCATGTTTTCTTCATAGCTGAACTGAATAAAAATTATAGACATTTGTGGTATCTTGCACCTACTTGGTTAAATAAAGATAACTACTGCATGGGACGTCCTAACAGATGAAAACTGGAGTATAACTGAACAATAGCAGGTCCTAAAATCAAAGGTTCTGATCTCTCCCCAAATGTTCAGCATTTGCTTCCTTTGTTGGCAAAGCTATTGCTATTTGGAAGCAGAAATTGTTCTACTGGAGACTGACTTATTGTTTGAACATCATAATCATTGCTAAAAAACTTCATATTGAGCTTCCAGATGATCTGAGTCAAAACCAGATGAAATGCACAGAAATTGTCAAGCACTTACATTCTTTGGTGTTAGGAGGCGCCAACAAGCATGAGTAGCAAACCATCCCGTATATGTTTCGAGGTCTGTTTTCCAGCATGTAGTAACTGAAACAAAGGGCAAGATGAGGCAAAACAGTGTAAATTAATATACTGCAACTGAGCATGGTTCAGCAGCAACCAATTATACTGAGATAAAATCATTTTAAAAAAAATACACCAACTTTTATAAGCAATTTGATGCAAAGATTATTCTTTTTTTTTCTTTTTTTTTTTTTAACTGCCTGAATAGAGACAGTGTTTCTCTTCTTCCTTTTACCCCTAAAAGACAATTAATCAACCATCAAGCCTACATGACAAGAAGTAGTATCATTGCCTAAAACAACATTACTCTCCCTGTTGAGTTCAAGCTGCAGTTTATGGCATGCCCTGAAATAAGACCTTTCAAAATAAGAGAGCATTATTTTCTGAAACAGCAGTCTTTCAGGCAAGACCACCAGCTGGATATGGTTGGCTAATTTTCTTCACAAGCACCATAAGAACAATCTTAGTAACAACAGAGCCAAATCTGAGTCAAATCTGAATAACAAATGCAGGAAAACACCACCCTTACAAGGGAAGCTGGATTAGGCTTCACAGTTTTTTTTCTTTAAGTTCATTGCTGTTTATAAGAAAGCCCTTGATCATGGAGTTACAGCATGAAGGAAAAATTTTCCATAGTTTGAACTTCTGGGCTGCCAATAAAGTTAGTCTTGAAATAAGGTAATTGGTTATGCAAGAATAGGATCCACAGACAATATAATGAGTAAATTACATCCAAATCATACACAGTTGATGTTATGGATATGCCTTTACAAATCACTTGCTAAATTTTAATGAAGAAATGAACAGTCATAATCTATTCTATGCAGATGAGTACTCAGCATAATAAACACTTTAAGCAACAATTAATCCATTCTCTGCTCTTACATACCTGTCTATGTATGTGCAGAATGTTTTTTCTGGAAAATGTATACGTTAGAAAATTACTGCTGAAACTGTCCATCAAAATCAGTTGCTCACTAATGAATAGCCCAGCCTTCAAACAAACTATGAATGTCCAGGAAATGGACACTGAGATGCAAGGTGAAAGGTGGTGCTTGGAGGTACCTCAGAGAGCATGCAAACTGAACATAATTCCCCTTTTGTTCTTACTGGTATTAAAAGATTCACCCTCACTCTTCCCTTTGGTTCCTGTGCCCCATGCCCCTTCTGAAACTCTGGCCTTCTCTCAAGAGCAAACCTTCATCTTTTGTCTCTTGTGGGGGCCTGCAGAATACCAGGTTGCAAAGCAGTTAATAAAAAAGCAGTAAATGACTGCCAAACCACAAAAGAAAAAAAAAAAAAAAAAAAAAGAGAGAGAGAGAGAGAAGAGAGAGAGAAAGAGTGGCAGGCCAAAGATACACATAAAACTATAAAGAAAAATACAGGACAACTAGGATTCAAAACATAATAGCCACAGTGGTTTAGGGAAGATAAACAGCCCTTCCAACAGGCTGTTGGAATTACCAACATGTAATTAATTCACACTGGTGGAATATTTCTTGGTTTTCACCACAATGCAGAATGCTGGAGGATGGGTAAAGAAGACTGAAGGGATGTTCACTGGCAGGCAAGCAGTCACCCAGGTGAGTAGGAAGGAAGTTTAGCAGTTGCAAACATTAATGGTTCACCCCTATGAAGTACTGGCAACAGAATGATGTTTCTGGCTATTTTGCAATGCACCAAATATTAAAGTAAATGTTGGAAGTATCTGATCTCTTCATATCACTAACTACAGAGAAGAAGTGGCCCATTAAAAAAATCACGAATTTTCATGGTTCTACTCTTCCACTTTGAAACTCATTATTTCTGTTTCCTTAGCACTCCCAGGCTTGGATTTTGAAGTGTAAAAACACAAGAGTGGAGCCTAGACTGAAACACGGATGTGTTTTCCAGAAGGTTGGATGTGGTGCTTAGGGACATGATTTAGTGGGTGACATTGCTGGTAGGGTGATAGTTGGACCTGATGATCCTGAAGGTCTCTTCCAACCTTAATGGTTCCATGATTCCTCCTTAATACCATGATAGCTTATCTGGGGCTAATCTTGGTGGTGCCATGTCACACTCAGGGACTTGGTCCCAGTTAGGTCTGCCTCCTGCAGGGACCATGACACCTGGGAACAGGGGGGTCTGTTTTCAGCAGGTGACAGTCTGCAGAGAGGTAACAAGGAGGTGGTGAGTACAGTAGTGAAAGCATCTGCTGCCTTACCCAGAACTGCAGGGGGGGGACTTTATTTCATAAGAAACACACTGGCTAAACCTTGTCATTCTGAAAGCAGAGAGAAGAGCTTGTTCCTTGTTTTGAAACACCTCAGAGAGGAAAATTGGACTTGGGCTTGGTGTACCCATGGACAAACACATTAAAAGGGGAAGAGTCAGTAGATGAGGCATTTCTGACTGCATTTTACAGGAATATTATTCCTTTGCATTCTGTCTTGTGAGAAGGCCAGTGAATTGCTTCGAGCTGAAAGTAGCTGCTGGGACAGCATTAGGGGAATATATCATATATGTCCTGCCCTGTTATTATTCAGCTGTGGGTGTCCACTTATGGCTGCTGCTGGCCTAAAAAGACCCTTGCTTTGACCTATTGTGGCTGTTCCTCATGGGTTATGATCTCTGACACACTCCAAGAACACCTAACAGGTCATCCCATTGAGGGTGGGGACCCTGAGTTGTACCTGGTTTCCCTATTATTGACCTAGAGTATTTATCATGATGGAAGTGCTTCTGGATAGGAGTGCCCCAGGATATTAGGTCTAGGTACCTTCAGAGATCACTGGAAGCTAACCTTTGATTTTGAAGACCACAGCTTGGGAGATAAGCCTTTAAATTCTTCCCAGGTCTCAGTCTTGAAACATCCTTGTAAGCTTGACCAATAGTGTCATTCCTATTTTACACAAAAGGGAACCTGACCACAGAGGATGCTCTTGTACTAAAGGTCTCCTTCTTCCTTACAACAGATCATCAATAATATTGTAAAAAAAAATGGAAGGAAAACGATGCCACTCATACAGGCACCTGGATGTCCCTGTGCCACTGGGGCAATGGCAAAGGGTATCCAGGCAGCATTGCCCACCAGTTCTTTTGCTCTGATGCAGGGCTTCTGCATTCACCCCCCACCACAAAGAAGAAACCTCTGGGCTCTTCAAGTTGCATCAAGAAGGCTTCAGAGCTTGTTTCAGCCCAGATGTAATTTATCCCGAGACTTTAATCTCTTCAAGCTTAGAGTAAGTGCGTGTTTCTCCTTAGCTGCTGGCCTTGCCAAAGCGACCCAGGAGCTGCACACAGCCAGCCTACAGCAGGCCAATTTCTGCTGCAGGTTACACCTGTGCAAACAGGATGTTTTCAGATTACTCCCCAAGCACCAGCTGTGCAAGCTGATTATTTTCAGCCAGCACCCCACTCCCACCTGGGTGACCTCATTAGTCCTGACAAAATTGCAAAACGGAGACTGTGGCCACTATTTAACTCTCTTGCTCTTTATGATGTATGAGGGGAAGTCAAGAGGGAGTTCTTTTCAAATCACATCATCAGTTTGCTTGGCTGGCAGTTAGACAAGTCCTTCTTTTTATTTGTAAACTGTGAAAATTTCACACAGACTTGCTGATATAATAAACCTGGAGCCTTGCAGCGTCTCTTTAGCAGTTATAAGCAGAGTTTCCTGCGTTATAAGCTGTGTGGGCTATGCTGCGTCTGCAAATTGCACAAAAGCCAAATGTCGGGAGGAGGTACACATCTAAACCAACAAGCCACAGTGGCAGAAATTGAAAATGTAGGTAAAGTGAGGTTGTGTTATAGAGTATTTGCTTATGCTACACACACACACACGCGCATAAGTAATAATAATAATAAAAAAATGAAAGCAAATGCATGCTTGTGTTTTCAGGCTTCTAAAGGTGACTTAGTGAAGAATATATTACTAATATATGCAGTGTAGCAGCAACTGCTTTCTCACCATTACTATCAGAATTACACTGCGCTTAACAGGCATTAAAAAGATGGACAATAAAACAGCTTATACTTTAGACCCTTCAACAAGCTCTGGAACTTGTTTTTACTCTGAGTAAGAGCACACACACTACATTAGCAGCCCGTTAGACCTCTTTCTCTCTGTTGACTAAACACAAACCATCTCCTAACAGCTCTGTTAGCTAATACTGTCAGCTACTGACAAACTTGCCAGCTGGTCACATTTGGAGAAGAGAGATTATGTGCTCATGGGCACAGACTTCCAGTGCCAGCATGAACCGTACAGAGAATCCAGGACATCTTTATGGAGCTTATTCATAGTTGTTGTTGATTATTCTGTTGTTGAATCCTTACCCCGGGAGACAAGGTCCACACTCTGCATCGTTCTCCTGATCGCCTGGTGTCAGGACTGTGGCTCGAAAGAATCCCTCACAGTCTTTGTGCCGTCTGCATATCTGGTAGCCTCCTCTGGAAAACTTCTCTGACGGGCAGGGAATGCAGCCATAGTCCTCGTCTTTGGTGCCATATCCGCAGGTCTGCAACAACACAAAGTCATTGGCTCGTGTCACACACTGGCTGCTAGGAAAAGGGAATGCAGTACCTGGCACAGTGTAGTACCAAGTCCCTTAACATCTGTCCTAAAAAGGCCAGGGAAGGACATAAGAACAAAACACACTGTGTCCTGGAGAGGAAAAGGGGAGCTGGGGTGTCATACTCCTTGACAGTGACCCTTCAAGGGCTATTCAAATCATGTTGCAGCCTTGGAAGTGAATTTCAGCTGCTGCTCAGATAAAAAATGAACTGCAAATTGGAGAATTGAGAAGAAAATTGCAGTGGAAACAGCGTTCCAGCAGGGATATCAGTGATCTCGTTTTCACGACAGGAGAGGCCACAAGGACCATTAGAAAAAGTAAGGTTTGCATGAGGTTTGGTAACCCCTGAACTCATGTGTCCCAGATAAATGTTACCTTTAGATTAAATAAAACTAATATGAAGTGGTTATTATTCAAACATCCTCGTTCAGGACTACCAACTGTGTGAAATTCTTGCAATGGGATGTTTATCCCATTAAAACCAAACAGGATTTCAGTAATTTATTTTTTAATATGCAACAATTATCTGCTGTAAATCAAATGGTTACTTAGGAACTGTAATTTAAAACGTGGCAGAAGCTTCCAAGTTCCTCTAGTGCCAAAATATCTTAGCAGGAGAGAGAAATTAAATTCTCTGTGTGGGGGGCCAGCGAGCATGCCAGACTAACCTATTTATCACACAATGCTGGAATGGCACTGTCAGGTTTTAAATAGCCGTTGAGATGAGAACGCACTGGCAGAGAACGTGTGTGAAGCTTTCACCTTACAACTTTTGCCATGCTACTTTTAGCAGGCTGCTCCTGGCACGCAGCATATGGGTGTGTGGGTGCATGATGCCTGCCCCCACAGCACCCTTGTGCATGCGTGTGCTCCCATCTGAGGGATGCGTGGCCTAAAATTGCTCATGCATCCCTTTCTTTCCGTGTTTTCTCTCATATCAATGCATTACCACCTTGTAACAAAGCATTTATTTTTAGTCAGGGCATTTTCCATCCTAGAATTGCCCACAGGCTAGCTAAGTGTAGGAAAGCCTCATGATGCAGGCCGAGCGCGGTGCCCCCAGTGACAGGCCTCGGCCCCCTCAGCCACCTCTCAGATGTCGTGTTGGGACTTCGACACATGTTCCCCCAGCCAGAGGAGGATGCTGAAATTACCATGTACGGCTCTTCACCCGGCTCGCACTTGGGGCAGTCGTGGCACATGCCGGTGGTTTGGTTGTAGTATTCGTTCTCGCCGCAGTTGGAGTATTCAGCGCTGGCGGAGTACACCAGGGAAACCTGCACCACAGACACCAGAGCATCACTGCCACCGCCTCCATCCAACACACCTCGTCCCCTCCCCTTGCCCAGCTACTTCAGTGGGTCTGACCTTGTGCCATGAGGCATCCCCAAAGCTCCCACTCAGGTGCTGAAGAAGTGCCGCTCCATGGGATGGAGGCGGTCACGGGTTTCAGCAATTTGGTCCTGTTAATAGTTTCTCAGAGCACCAATCTTTGTGCCTGTTGTCACAGCTGCTCCTCAAATATTGAAGGCCGTGGTTCCTGACCTGTTATTTCTCCTTCTCTCTGGTGTGGTAAATGCCCGAGTTTACTCCCTCCCCGCTCCCAACTCTAATGAGCCTTCACAAATGTGGCTGTAAGGGACAACTACAACAACCTGAGATAACGAGTTGCCTCAGGCCTCAACCGTGATATGGCTGAGTTTCATGTGACATCCAGGCTAATCAGCTCCTCCAGAGCCTGCTGGGCTGGAGCAGATGTCTTTTCTGCTTCTGCTCCATTTGGGGTCCTTCTCCTCCCTCCTCCTCCCTGTTAACTTCTCCCACACACTGGGAAGTACAGATTTAAACAGATGTTCCTGTCTAAGTGGCACCAAAGAAAAAGCTTAAGTGTTTTATTGAATGGAAACTGATCCCAGTGTCCAGTGCTCAGCTGTCTGTAGGTGTGTCTTAGCAATTCATAGATGTTTGCAAAGACTTGAGCAGAACCCAGTGATCTTTGTACGCTGGAAACGCCTGCATGCATGTGGATACCTACCACCAGAAAAGGGAACACGTGAGTCCATTTACATTCACCCAGGTGAGCCATGTTCTCTTGATATTTTACCTGAAACGATAGAATTGATGATTGTTTATGAACATCAGTAAATATTTGTGTGTGTTGCCAAAACAAGAACAGAAGGGCTCATCAGCAGAACAAAGGTAAACGGGAGCGATGCCTGGAGTTATCCAGAGGTCTAAATAAAGAGAGGGGAGGTGTGCACGTGCACTCACACACACACACACACTGCGGCACATCTCCTGCCTCTCTGAGAAAGCTCATTGCATGAGGCAGCCTGGCCTTGCAATCTTCATACAAATTTGTCAGAGACGAGGCTACGAACCCTGGTATTTGCTGGCTTTTGGAGAAGTCCTCCTATAGGGGAACCGAGAGCTACATCATGATCACTAAATAAAAGAGGGCTGGGGGTCAGTAGCCCAGCCTGGCTTGTGTCCTCGACCCTGCCAGATCAGATTTGTCAAGGAAAGATCTGGAAGAAGCATCCAAAAGCTGAGCCAGGGAGCAACCTGATAGAGAGTGGCACAGGCAGACACCTTCCTCGCTGGCTCCCACAGACCTGCTGGGAAAGCCCAGAGCTGCCTTCGGTAACAAGCCTTGGCTTCTTTTCATTCCTAATAGGCAAGCTGTAGATTTAAGAGCTTAAACTCAAGGAGGAAGCTGAACTTTGTATTTTAAGTGTTATTACAATGGCTGGGGGGAAATAAAGGCTGTGATCTCTGTTGTAAACACACGTGCTAATTTATTTCATTTTTTTTTTCAAATTCAGTTCTATGAATAACTTTGAATAAGAGCTAATGTTGCATATTCATGTACTGGATTTCTTTCTAAGGGATAAAAAGAGACAGGAAAAAGCAACACAAATTGTTTGTCTAGCATGATACAATATATTTAATGGTATTGTTACAGCACATAATATGCCCTAGGGATTTTACAGCTTCAAATTGCAAATGTTTGAGATACATTTGCAACACTTTGGTCCTAGTAGATGTAAACTGCTTTTTAAATTTTCCACATCTCAGATACTGCAAGGTTTTTTGGCTCCCGGAAGAGTACAATTGCTGCTTTGTGCCACTTTCAAGCATACAATCTCCACTAGAGCAGCACTGTAGAATTTGAGATAGCCACTAACATTTACATTTTTAAACACTAAATGGATTAAGCAAAGATTATATCACGCCGGCATCAAGCTAGGAACTTGCTTTATATGTTCCTTCTAGCAACGGGGCTAGCTGAGACAGGTAACAGGGGTGGGTGGGTGGGTGGACAAGCTGAATTATAAGTATATTCTGTTCTGCAGGAAATTGCACTTTGAAACCTAGAAACAAAAGAGAATCAGAGATAAATTGTCCTAAAGCTGGAGGTGAGAGATGGAAAATAGTCATGCAATTGCATAAACTGTCAAACATTTAAGTTGGACAAAGGCTTTGGCTATGACAGTATAGTTACTTGGAAAAGTTCCAGGAATATAATCTTCACACACATGTCTGTTAAACTGAATCCTAATTATAAGAGAGCTTGTTAGACTTCATAAATGAATATTATCAAGGCTGTTTCCACACTGGTATTGCAAAGTCATCACATTTATTATAAATTGGGTCTGGACACAGAATTGCACTGGTGAAGTTTGAATCTGTAACTTTACAGTAAAAGCATGTCTTACAGTAACAACATGCTTCAGTTGCTTTCAAGCCACCCAGATGTTTACTGTTTGAGGTACTTACATGCAATCATAGCCAGATTTGAAAAATGGAAACGGAGAAGTATAAGCCTATTAATGCATAATACAATCTTCTCTATCCATTTGGTATTTATTTACATAAAATGTTGAAAGTGTCAAGTTATACATACATACATAAAATATTTTTCTATCTCAACATAAATATACATGTGGGGGTATGTTTTGTGTGTAAACATACATTTTTTCCCCCTGCATTCTGTCATTACACATGGCAATATGTCAAGCATATGGCAAATATTAACTGGAAAAAGCCAGTTCAAAGTGCTGAATATGACCGGATTAGAACACTAGGGGAGATTTTTTTTCCCCAGATTGGAAAACCGAAATGTTAAAATTAATTATTCTCCCTCCCTCCCCCCTGCCTCACCCATTCAAGTATGTTGCTATAAACTGACAATGTTATTTTCTGTTTGTGTGTTTTATCTGTTTATTTTTTTTCCTGTTTTTATTTTTGTTTCCTTTAAAGTCAAAACCCAAAATGTTTACTTAATTTTTATAATGAAGGACTGGGGAAAGTCTGGTGCAGGAGGTTTCTGGCAGTAGGGCCATAGGTAGCCCCTCAGCTGGGATGATACCTGCTGGTATCTACCAAGATATGCTAGGCTGCTCTTGGGCTTGATGTCAATTTTCAAGCATTTTAATTTACACCCACACCATATCATCTATCACACATTAATCCCATGTGCACAACAAGGGATTTTCTAGTGCTAAGATCACTTTTGTGCCTAGCTGACATATGTAGAAACACGCAAAGCTTGGACAATCTGCCTCCATCTGCCAAGAAGCAGGAAAAACAAAAACAAAACAAAAGCACAACCAACAAACCAACCAAACAAAAAACCTCCAGTTATTATGGCCCCTAACCATTAAAAGTAATTAGCTCTGGGGAATTCTTGAGTGAATTTACAGGCAGTTCCCCTTCCCTTCCTATTCCCAGGTACACAGGACTGCTGGGGGCCTCCAGGAGTAAAACGAGGAGCCCTGGGCCCTGGTAAGAAGTAGAGGGAAACCCTGGTTTACACAAATTTGGCATCCATGCATCCACTCAGGACATGTCTGCTGTCTCACACTGACTGCCATGATGCTGGCATAGCATGCTGCCTCGGTAATCTCAAAGGGCAGAAATCGAGCTCCAGATTTGAAGCAATCTGTGGGCTGTCCCCTGTGGACACAGGGCATACTAAGACACTGCTTAATTCAGGAGATGAGGAGCAGATCATACATCTGTGTAGAGCTTCGCTGCTCCAGTAAAACCCTTTATTTATGAATGTTTGGCAGGCAAAACTGAAGTCTTGGTCTACTGCTGATCTTTTTGATTACTGGTACTAAAGCATGTGTAGGAAATCCAGATTAAAATGTGTACCAGTGCACAGAAACAATTTTGCAAATCCTTCTTTGCGCCTCCACCATACATGATTTTTGGGAAAGCCTCACTTTGTGCAGGTTTTGTCCTACAAACTCAGTCCTTCTTCATGTGCATGTAAATATCAGCTGCAGAATATATCAGCTGACTGGCGTTGAGCTTATGGCACAGAAGATTTGACCAGAGTGGAGTAATGTCAGTCTGCATGTTTCTAGTGAAACAAATGACCCTGTTCCATAGGACGGCAGGCAGAGGTCAGCAGGAAGAAGCTGGAAGTATATTTTTGGAGGGACCACACAATGGCTCCTATGAAGTGTGGGATTTCCAGCAGCTCATCTGCTGAGCCCTCCGCACATCCTGACTCAACGCTTCAGCTGAGGACAAGTGGGTGTCAGGAGAGGAGGTGTAAAACAAAGCTTGGGTCTTTGTGGATCAGGTGTGCGACACGCAGCAAGTCCCAGCATGACTAGAGGGGGTTGCTAATTACAGCCATATTTGCCTTTCAGGGCATATTCGTTAATAACTTAGGAATACACACAGAAGCTGACAGGAAAAGGAAGACTATTTTCCCGGTGGCAACCACAGCAAGCAGTGCTAGAGACTCGCTGTCTCAGCTTCTCTCCAGGAGACTGCGAGGCACAGATTTGGCCCGGGGCAATAGGAAAAGAGACGCCTGAGACCCTGTTACTCAAATATTTCTCTTCCCAGATGAAAGGTCCTTCAGTGCAGCCTTTGCAGCATGTTACCACGGCCTGGCAGGTACACACAAATAAATAAATAAATAGATATATACATCCCCAGGCAGAAAATGCTTCGTTCGTGCTGTCTGAAGGATAAAGAGCAGCATTTGCTGTAGTCAGCCTTTGAATTTAATTTACTTAGATAATTAGGTAGCGTTGCCACTAGGTTTACAGTATCCATGAGTAAATGGAGTAAATATACAGAATACACAAACAATGAGGTTACCGTAGTTGGTGGTCTAAGCTAAAACTCATAACTTCTGATAGACAGCCTTAACGGTTATTTTAGTTCCGAGTCTTCATTATTAACACAGTGTAAAAGCTAATTTCCTATCAGATATTTTTTGTCTTTAAAAAAAGGTCTGTAAAAAAAATGAGGAGGAACACAAGGATCAAAGAAATCTGTGCTCCTTAATGCTGCAGAGGGATTTTTTTTTAGTGTCTCTGCATTTCTTTAGTTTCATCACTGATGTAGATACACTTCAGGGATGCAAATCTTGACTTCACGAGAGGAAAGGCACAACAGCTGTCTCTGAGAGCTCTGCTATTTTGATATTTCTGTACACACACAGACATATCTGTCTGGGAAACAGAATGCTAGACAAAAGGACTTGTATAAATAAATGTGGGTAGACCATACGAACTTCACAGGTGCCACCAACAAATCCAGTGCCTACCCTGTGTTCCCAAGGTTTTATGAGAGGAACCTCGTGAACTGCCTTTTCCACAGATTATCACAGTTTCTCACATGCACTTGGTAGATAATCTTTGTATGCTCCCGATGCTGCTAAATCCTTCTTAACCGAGATAAGCATATAATCCTCACTGCAGGGCCTCATAAGTTTCAGAGTTCAGCAGCAGAGTTTAGTTTGGCTCCAGCCTCGCAAAAAAAGATGTGGTTTGAATTTTCCTTTCAAGAGGAGAGAGGCATCTCTGAGCCCGTCACTGAATGACAATGATGGCAGCACAAGGCTGGCAGGAGAATAAACTTAGACAACTATAAGCAAATAAAAAACATGGAGATTATGAAGAAAACTATTGTGTAGTCCTGGTTACAGTTTGTATTGTTGTGAGCTCCAGAATATTGCACAGAACAATATAGCATTTGCAGGACAAGATGAACTACACAGTTTCTCGTATCTGCTTTATATCACTTTGACCTTGCAAATACATGTTAAAAACAACCCCAGAGAAAGATGTAAGA